GGCCCGGCAGGCACCATGCTGGCGTTCAGCCCCGTGGTGGCCTGTGGGCGCTGCAGCCACACGGGGACCTGCCCAGACTTCAGAAGTAGGGTGCTTGTCATCTCCCCCAAACTGGGCAAGACGCAAGAGGAATGCGTGTTCCTGTCGTAGCCACGACTCTCGTCCACACGGAGTCTGTTCGCGGACGTCCTGAGTAGGTTCTGAGGCAAGTGAGCAAGAGGCGGCTTCAGTCAAGGACGCAGCCAGGTGTGCTGAGCTGCAGAGTGACCGCACTTCCCAAGGAAGAGGGCGCGAGAGCGGGAGTCAGGGGCCAAGTTCTGCCCCCCCCCCCCCCCCGCCCTCCCATCTGCAGTGACCATGCGGCCAGGTGTGAGCGAGTCCCCGAAATGATCCGGTCTCAGTCACCTGGATGTAAAATCAACTGGACGGATCAGACAATTCCAAAGGTGCTGAGTCTAAAGTTCAATGATAACTTTTTTTAAAAGTATATTTTTTATTGATTTCAGAGAGAAAGGAAGAGAGAGAGATACATCAATGATGAGAGAGAATCATGGATCGGCTGCCTCCTGCACGCCCCCTACTGGGGATCGAGCCCACAACCTGGGCCTGTGCCCTTGACTGGATTCGAACCCGGGACCCTTCAGTCTGCAGGCCGAGGCTCTATCCGCTGAGCCAGACCGGCCAGGGCTTCAGTGACAACTTCCAGGGAAAACGGGCTCATGAAGTGGTGGGACGATGTCTTCATTCTGGGAAGCGACACAGAGCCATGTTAGGAAGGAGAAGTCTGCAGAGGAGGTGACGGGACCCGGCGTGGCGGCAGGTCCGAGCCCTCCGGGACTGGCGGATGTTCTAACTGGTCTTGGAGACGGCAGTGCTTTGAGGGAGGCTGGGAGGGCTGGCCCTGAGGCTGTGCACCTTGGCATCCTGGTCTCTCGTGTCACGTCCGTCCTCTGCAGGGCCAGTGTCAACAGTGAGGCCCACACAAAGGAGGCCATTGAGTCACGGCGCCGATGCCTGGGTGACCGCAGGGGCAGCTTGACGGTGGAGTTTGCTTAAGCATCCGGATTGTTTGCCTATGACCTTCAGCCGCCAAAACTTCATTACAAATTACTCTGAACAAATTTGACATGGAACGTCATCCGCGAAGGCGTCCTTTCGGAATTTAGTTACATCATTGGGTGATGATATTAGCATGAAACAATTTTTTAAAAAATAGGTCTTTGTTGATTTCAGAGAGAAGAAGGGAGAGGGAGAGAGCGATAGAAACATCAATGATGAGAGAATCATGGATCGGCGGCCTCCTGCACACCCCCCACTGGGGATGGAGCCTACAACCCAGGCCTGTGGGCTCAATCCAGGAACCAAACCGTGACCTCCTGGTTCACAGGTCGATGCTCAGCCCCTGAGCCCCGCCGGCCGGGCCGCAGGACTCCTTTTATGAAGTCCTTTTTATTGTAAAGGGGAGCCTGCTTCCTGGCATTTATGCTCTGATGCGGGTGGGGCTCTTACAGACATCATCTCCTGGACCGAAGCATTCGGCCTTGGCACGAGGCACCAGGGAAGAGGAGACGATGCACTAATTGGCACAGGATGTCAGCAGCACCCCGTGAAACCAGGGGGGCCCTGGACTGTGACCTCTGCTGGGGGACCACAGGCTGTGCTGCTTTGGTTTCATTGAATACTAGTTCCCCTTTTGTGGAAAGACATACACAATGAAGGTACCAGTCACCGAAAAATGGAGTCAGTCCAATAGTTAATTCTTTGCCATGTTGTAAGGACGAGCTATCTGTTTGCTGAAAATAGGACTCCCTGCCTAAAACGCCCCTTTATATTGAAAAGTCTGCCCAAATGCATAGATCACATCTGTGTGTGTGTGTGTGTGTGTGTGTGTCTGGCTGGGTGTGACTCACTTTGATATTTCTTTACTGCAGTCATCTGGAACTGAGCCTGCAATATCGGGAGCTATGCCTGTATCAGGGCTCCAACTTCTCCACGTACTCACCAACACTTAGCTTTCTTTTTATATTAGCCCTCCTCTCTGCCATCTACCTATCATCTATCTATCTATCTATCTATCTATCTATCTATCTATCTATCTATCTATCATCTATCTATCCATCCATCCATCCATCTCCTGGTATTATTGGTAGTTAGTTCTTAGGGCGGATGCGAATATGGGGAATTGTTCCAGTTTCCAAAGTGACACTGATTTATCTATACAAGTGGTTTTGACTTTAGTTACCTTAGTTGAAACATAATAAATACAATATCCACAAGGAAAAAAAATCACACCTTCACTATTTATTACACATTAGAGTAGTCCTGGCAATACTACCCAGTGAGCATGTTTTCTGGTGCCTGCGATGTACTTTAAGGAGGTTTGGCAAATAGTTAGATTATTCAACC